TGCATGTTTAAGAGCAGTTGGGACCACGCCCGATCCCAGGCTGAGATTAATAAAAGTGGCCAGGGAAGGTCCAAGGGTGTCAGTGACCTCCTTAATAAACCTGGCTGGAAGCAAGTCAAGGGGAAAAGAGACAGGATTTAAATGTAATATATATTCTTTCAATTGAGACAGAGAGATCGGGGTGAAGGAGTCTAAAGTATGTAAAACATGAGCTACAGGTGGTCTATAAGGTGAGGGCTTTGGAGTATTCTGCCTAAGAGCCTTGACCTTCTCACTGAAGTATCCCAGAAATTGGTTACAAGGCAAAACAGATCCCTCAGTAGGCATCATACCAACTGGATTAATAACCGAGTTTATCGTTTTAAAAAGGACTCTAGGGTTATGGCTGTTATCTGCAATAATATTAGCTAAGTATAGAGTTTTAGCCTTTTTTACAGCCTCCTGATAGGCGAGGAGGCTGCCTCTAAGAATCTCTAGAGAGACGTGCAAGCCGTCTTTTTTCCATTTTCGCTCAGCCTTTCTGCAGCTCCTCCTTAGGGCCTGGGTGGTGTTGTTTAGCCAAGGAGCAAGAGTCTTGCCAGTCCTTCTCGTCCTACAAGGCGCAACAGAGTCCATAATCCAGGCGCAAGTCTAATCCACGGGTAGACCGGAGGACTCTGCTCCTCTGAGGCGTACAGCATCTTACATAATCCATTCATATCTAATAGCAGATCTAGAATCAAAATCAGCTTTATTGACCAGGTGTGCTGGACACACAAGGAATTTGACTCTGGAGAGATTTCCTTGGGAATTAACTGTAACCAGATATGATCAAATCTAATTAGATATATTACATAAAATGGCAGAGCTCTGAACTGATGTAACAACTGAATACTGGCTGAGATTTTAGGATTTTATTTTGGCAAAAACATGGAAACACTGCAAAACTAAACCACACTGGTTCTAATTATCAGGTAGCAGAGAAATCAAAACTGTTTTTGAGAAACTGGGTTATCGAGGGACCTCTGAGCTACCAACCCAACAGTTCTTCCTTCTGATTTGTCCCATCATTTGTCTTAAAAAATGGAACATGATCAGTGTTTCTACAGTAAAAAAGAATTTTTGCAGGTTCCTTAAGATGATCAGTTTTAAATCCACCAGAATCCAGTGGCCTCTTTCCAGCACACGTCTGCTACTGCCACATAAAAGACAAACTCATTTTGAGTTTACTGAGTGTCCTTGTCTAAAAGATGGAGGACTTTATCTGCCCAGGTGAGGAAACATGAAAGAAGAAAATCAAATGAGAAGCATTGCCGTGAAAATGCTGAGCTATGATGTGTGACACAAATTGAAATTAAAAATTCATGCCTCCTTAGTCTCTCTCTCCCCCTCTGAACTCAGTGAACCCACACTACCTACCTTATTGTTAGCAATGCAATTCATATCTCACTCTCATTAATGTGCTTGATAATTCTTTATGCACTGTGCTCTTTAAAGGTCTTTTTTCAGGGGTTACACATAGCCCAATGCAACAAGTAATGCTGACAAGATGAACAATGGCTTTTACAGCAGTGCTGCTAGTGAAAGCAAAACACTAACAAAGACTCCAGCAGCTATTGTCTGAAACTCATGACTTATTCTCATGCAGAAAAGGGCATTTTAAACATAATGCAGTGAGTTGGCGGTGTGATGAAGGCTGAATGAGGCTTGTCTCTTGGAGGCTGGTTGTAGAAAATGTGGCACAAATTCAGACGAGGGAAGCAAAAATGAACAGTGGTTGGTATAGCTTTAACATTTCCTATGTACAGTGCAGAACACGAGCCTTTGTGCTCACTAAGCTGGATAAATAAAAGTTTATAAGAATGGCAAATGTCCCCATCAGAGAACAGACAGAGTAGAGGGGACCCAGGCTTGAGGTTTGGTGCAAACAGGGGTAGTGATAGAGCCTTATGCTGGTTTAGGGTTTTCTTGCCCCTTGCATGGGGATATGTACATACACATTGAAAGCTGATGTACCAGAGTCCAAATTCCTCATGTGTCCGACACACCTGACCAATAAAGCAGATTCTGATTCTGAGATTCTGGCTGCACTGACACCAAACTTCCTAATGAACGCTGCTTCCTGCTGCAGAGTCTATACTATAGAGAATGTGAAGGTATGTCATGGCGTGTTTAATGTTGGGACGAGGGAGTTACGTGCAATATTTCCCTGCATACATTCTTGTTCTATTTGGCTACAACCTTGCTTAAATCATTTAGATCTCACTTTACAGACTGTGGTAATTCAAGATGGATAACCTTAGTTAATTGTAGCTAACTTGTAGCAGACCTATAGATCCTGTCTAGGACAGCAACAGGCTGGAAAATGACTCTGCACCCTGATAACAACTCCACTTGGCTCTCAGTTTAGGATTTAACACTGGCCAGCCACTGCTGGCAGATTAACACAGATACTGCAGATTGAATCAATTTCTGTCATGTTTGTGCTCAAAATGAACACTAAAGTGGACGTTTGGAGGAGGTTGAAACATCCACCACTGTATGTAGCTATATGAGATAGTATTTATTTATTATTTTTAAAATTAACTTATAAATGCACTGTATGTAGTGTATATACATATCTATGATTTATGATATAATAAGTGTGATTTTCTAAAATGGCGCATTTACCCAGTTCAACACAGCGTGATGATAACTTAGACACATTAGAGAAATGGCAAAGTTTGCAGCTGTAGCCCAACAGATACAGGATTTTCGAGGCTGATACCAATGTCAGTATTTGAATTTCTCTTCATTTATATAAACTCATAAAACCATAGTAAAAAACATTGATAAGAATATTTGTCTTTAAAGCTTTGTGACCAAGATACATTGAGCTAAATGCTAACATTAGTATGCTAACAATGACAATGCTAACATTCTGATGTGTGGCAGGTATAATTTTGCCTTGTTCAACAACTTAGTTTAGCATGTTGGTGTACTGATTACCACTAAACTCAAAGGCTGTAGGTTTAGCAAAGACAATTTAGGGGATCACCACAGTCCTTATGACTCATCTGGAGCATGTTCCCCTCTGTTGACTGTCAGGTGAGCTTATAATGAAAGTGAGCATTACCAAGGTTAGAGTATATGCATGTGTGCACCAATTTTCAAGACAATGCATCCAATATTTGTCAAGTTATTTTACAAAAAAAAAGATAAGTGTTGACCTCATGATGGCACTGGAGGACACATAGGCCATAACCAAAGCCATGGTGATTTAGTCTTACAGAACACAAGAGGTGTTGCAGTAAGTAATGTTCATCATTATTAATAATTCACATGCATTCTTTATTAATTCATGCTCTTGATTTAATAATGTGTCTGCATGAATTACTAATTTGTGCTTCTGGTTTAATATCATGTTCTGTAGTTTGGCTCCTCCCATCTTGTAGAGGGCAGAAAATGCCACAGTGCACTAAGTCAGCTGCAAGTATGAAGAATAAGACATAGAAGGCCAGAAACTTAAAGCTAGGTTTTTATAAACTGGTTGACATCTTCATCGTTTTTATGGCCAAACAGTCTGTTATGCTGTAAAATATCAATAAGATAAATAGGCTATTATTAACATTGGGATACAAATTGCCCAGTGCAAACTGAAGGATCAGCCTTGTTATTTTTTTTTAACCCCAGTGATGGTAATAATGCAGAATTATTCAACAATGTAAATAAGACAAACTACACATGTATGTTAAAGTGTGTGTGCTACATGTTCACATTATCTGTAGTACTGTATTAATTCATAGCTGACATGCTTTGGGTCTCTGTTGGCAGAGGAAGCCAGATGCTGGACAGTGTCACAGTGCAGTTCTTACATGTGGTGTGAAGGAAAGGGCTCTGGGCTACACCCTGGGGATTGCTCAGCACAGCTGCACCACCACAAGGCACCAAACATCCACAGTACTCACTCACTGAGAGGGGCCAGGCATCCTGTTTCAACCCAAACCTGCTTCTGTGACAACACTTAACCAAGATATAACAATCTACATCCTTTAACATGAACATGAAGTCAAATTAAGTGTTTACAAATTCAATATTTAATATACAGTAAATGCTGAGACACAACTTTTTAAGGTAAGACAAACAAAAAATACCCCCGTTGCCCATGATGGCGGCGCATATGCACGCAGCGCCCCGGGGCCCTTGGCTCCAAACATAATTTCGTTGTACATGTTACAATGACAATAAATAAAGCTTCTTCTAAATAGTGAAGGCTTTTAAAAACACAAATTAGAGTAAAGAACAAGAATCAGAACAAAAAATAAAACAAAAATGAAGGCTCAAATGATATATTTCATTATTTAACACAACCACCAGTCTTCATCAGAACATAACATAAGCTTTTACAACAATGCACAAAGTATGTGTACAGTGAGTGTGAGGTTTCCAGCTGTCCCGGTGATCCTGGGGACATCCCATAATAGGACAGACTTAAACATCAACAGCATGTGAGAAAACTCCACCTTGACCTTTTCCTTTGTGTACAAAATAAAAGTTGATTACTGTGTAATGTTTTCACAAAGCTGCTTGTTTTAAGAAAATGAGCCTCTAGTTACCTTGTGAAACAACTACTTCCCCTAAAAATAAAGTGATAAATTGCTATCCTGGTTCACGTCTCACTAACAAAGCTTCCAAGTCTTCATGGCCCCCCATGATCAGATGGTTTTTTCCCAGGCAAGCCCCCCATTGATTAAAGGCTTGTCCAAGACCCCTGGTAAATATGGGCCTGTACAAAATCATTCTGGTGTGTCATATAAAGTGACAGTGACAGCTCTGGGTTCAAAAGTAATTTTCAAACAGTCTCTAAACGGTTTTACCTGACAACAGATTGTCTTACCATTTAAAGTGTCCAAAACCTGGAGTATACCCTTTCTACTAATCAGGTGAATTGAATCTAGGCGTTACTTGTACCACAGTGTATGACCCCTTCGTGGACGACCAGCTGGTTACTCATCATACCGGTGACAGGCAGTGTAACTCACTTGTATGAGCTTCCGGCTGTAATCTCCTCTCTGATCTGCCTGTTTACAGCATCTGCCGCCGCTCTCCCTCGGCCCTCTCCTTCCACCTTCAGGACAACTTTCTTCGGCCCCTCCTGTCTACCGGACCGCTTTTTCCTCTCTTGGCCATGGAGGAGGTCTTTCTCCTGCACCTTGTCAGCAATAGCGCTCTTCTCCACGCCGCTGTCCGCATCTGTCAGCGTCACGTGCCTGGACCTGTCGTCGCCGACTGAGGTGGTTTGAGGCGGTTTAGGTATCCAGGGATGATCGTACCTTTTGGGGATGGGCCAGGCCTTGAAGTCCTTCTGGTACTGGGTCTTGCTGTTGAACGGTGTTTCCGGTTCGTGGTACTCATTCTTAGGTTTACAACTCGGTTCGGGTCGCACTTTCCAGTGCTTAAAGTCTTCGCGCATCACCGAGCTGGATACACGCTCCTCAGACACGCACCGTCGCGGCGCGCGTGGCGCGGTCGTGATGCGGGTTTCTGCGCGAGAAGGCTGCGTTTCTATGGCGACCCGGGCCTGGGGAGGGTGGAGCGGCGGCTGCAGCTGGATGTGCTGCATCTCAGAGACGTCCGTGTACTTAGTGAAAACCAAAGGCACCGCAATGTCAGCCTTGTCCAGCTGGTTCCAGAAGCGGGCCATGCAGCACGCCCTGCTGATACACGGCCACGCCATGGTGAGGTTCGGAGAGTCCCACTACGACACAGTATCCGAAAAGAAAGACCAATATTTCACTACGGTGTCCTGATGAGAGAGAAACAAGATGTCCGTGTGTCAGGATGCACGGATGACTTCAATGCTGTTGACCTTAGATTGGATTGTTAAGTAAATCCATTGTGCTTCTAAAATATACTGCTAGAGATTTTCACGACTTTATTGAAAACGAACCGCACTGACATTTGCTCTACTTCCCTGTGTCCGCTCTGTCTCGTCCGTCTTGCTACCTCACTCTACGGGAGGGCACTGCAAGGAAACACGGCCCCGCCCTCCTGCTCAGCATCCCGGAGACAAAACTGGAGCTGAGCTGAGGAGGAAGTCCGTCAAGTTGGAGAGAAAAGAAACGGGCTTCCGGCTTCATCTGGAAGCCAGAATCTGTAGCTAATAGAGTTCTTTACGAAATAAAGCCACACACAAGCAAACATAACAAGTAGGACGGGATGTTTCCCGTAGGTTGGTAAATGACGTCGCACAGCATATCTGTAGCATTAATACTGAAGTGGAATATTTCCTTTATAAGGCACAAACACACACACAACACTTGGATATTAGTTAACACTGAATGAAAAAAATGAGAAAATTAATGGTCTAGAAGAAACATTCTTATCTGTATCCTAAACGTAGTAATAGTATTAAATCCATTCCTGGGTTTATAAGGAAGTAGCTAAAAGTAGCCTGAGTTTTTTTGTTTTGTTTTGTTTACATGTTGTAAAATTGGCTCTGTGACAAAGGCAATCCATTATTGGAAGACTTTGCCAGCAAATAGAATACATGAATAATGCCAGTCATTACACACCCTGAGGGCCTGTTTCACACTGGGCTGCAGTTTCTAAGACACCTGAAAGACAAGCATATTATCTAAAGCAGTTTCTATAATGAAGCCTGGCAGCTCGTTTTTAGAATTAATAACAATTCTAAGCATGTGTCTCCTCTCTCCTGTAGTGTGTCCTCTCTCTCTCTCCCTGTACCTTTCTGCAGGTTGCCCTGGCCCTGGAGCTCTATGTCTCTGATGAGCAGTCACCAGCCACATCGACCTGACCAGTGTTTGATTGTTTGTTGTGTCCTGTTGCTTTTCTTCTTTTGTCTCTCCTCTATCCACTCACCCCAACCGGTCGAGGCAGAAGGCCGCCCACCAAGAGCCGGGATTTGTCGGCGGTTTCTTCTGTTAAACGGAGCTTTTCCTCCCCCTGTCGCCCAGTGCTTGCTCAAGGGGGATTTGTTGGGTTTTCCCTATGTAATAATATTGATAACAGTAAGGTCTAGACCTTACTTTGTAAAGTGTCCTGAGATGACTTTTGTTGTGATTTGGCGCTATACAAATAAAATTTGATTTGATTTGATTTGATTTAAGCTTTAAGACACGATTTTTCCTTTTTTTTATTATTACTATCTTTATTTAACTGCATTAACTTTATTGTTGGTCAGTGGCTGCAGGTAAAACATTGACTGACTGACTGAGTGCTCAGGAACAAAGTGGTAATGAAGCAATCAGGGCTGATAATCCCTGAATAAATTAATAATTCATCACGATGTAATCAAAGGGTAAAAGAACCCACTGTACTATGTCAATCTACTGTAAGTGAAGCAAATTAGTGAAAGATAAAAAAAAGATAAAGACAGTGAACATGCATAAGTGTCTGCCTCAGTGGAGTGTGTTGATTTGTGATGCAAAGTACAGGTTGCTCCTCACTGTCTACTGTCATCTGTTTTTCCTTCATCGGTACCTTGGATGCCTGTTTCCTCATTGTGTACACACACATACACACACAGACAGTAGGTTTGGTTATAGGGCCTTACAAAACTATAAGTTCTATGGTTCTTGTCTGAATGCTTTGATGTGCGTCCCACCAGCTCCTTCCCGTCAGGGTCAAAAGTCTGATGTGGTTGATATGGTGTGGCAAGTCAAACCTTATACTGAGTTTGAGAGATAAGACGCAACTTGGAGGTGAAGGTGGTGAGGCAAGAAGGACAGACTTCGGACTTTGGACTTCAATGGCTTTTCTTCTTGACAACCTGGTGCGGCACTTTGGTTTGTCTCTCTTCACTTGTGGAAATCATGAAGATTGATTTTGCCCCCTTGGACGTGCCCCTCCAGAGGAGACTGCAGACGGCCGCAGTGCTGCAGTGGGTCTATTCCTTCATCGGCCTGGGTGAGTATGCATAATTATAGGTGGAGCATTAATGTGTAAGCGACTACTGTTAAATTACAGGCCTGCTATAGTTTTGTAGTCTCCATTTCTTTAGCATGTGTGAACATGCTGGCTTAGCTGCTTTTTGGTCAAGTGTGAGGAAGTATGAGAGCTGGAGAATAGCTGTCACAAGTGACATGAACTGCTGCATGGCCAAAAGAGGGAGCCATGGAGGACATGACCTGAGTACAGTGCAGTCCTTATCTGCTCACAAAGGTCGGCCCCTTGGCTGACACCAAGTTACACCGTATATCTTCTAAAACAAGTTTCTATTTCATATGCTGCCATCCAAATGATATATATGTGTTTAGCTCTGGAAGACAGTGGATCCGAGCCCATTTTGTCTGACATACCCCCATGAGCCTGTTCTGTTTCATGGCTGAGGCATTTCAGATAATCAGGAGTGAAACTAGTCACATTGCTCAGAAGTCAAGTCTCCTACAGGGATGCTCAGATTTTTTCAAAAATAAGTTTTTTTGGCATTTTGCCTTTATTTGACATTTGATTATCCATGGAGAGAGAGAGGCGGGAAACTAGGGCAGACAGAAGAGTATGACCTGCAGCAAAGGTCCCCTGGCCTGGAATTGACCTGTGGACATGTACACTTTTACCATTAGGCCACAACACACCCTCTACTATGCTACACTAAAACAGAACAATTTTAATTTTCCAGCACACTTACTTGCAGATAATTTCATCACTGACATCCAGGCCATAGCCTGATTGGAGGAATCATTTAAAAGTACAACTAGTCTTGGTTTTTGACAGCAATCTCTCATGGCTACTGCCTGCCCCTTGGAGAAAGCACTTATACCTGAGCAAACATGAAAACAGTATCTGTTAATCCCAGTGAAATTGTACTGGCATCGCACAGGCATATTATCCCATTGCATGGCTCTATTATTAGTAACCAGTAAAACTGAATGCAACTGAACAAATGCCAACAGCTAATTTTAGTCAAACATATAACAGCCCAATACTTGTGGAATGTCTATTGTATTTGTTATAGCAAATCAGAATTGAAGGTTAAATGATGAACATTTTTACTGTATACTTTCTGTCCTCAGCACCCACCTGCATCTTCCTGTTCATTTACCTGCTGTTTACTCGCTTCTGGCTAATCAGTGTGTTGTACACCATCTGGTGGTACTATGACTATGACACCCCGTCACGCGGAGGCCGCAAGATGCCTTACTTATGTGGTCTCAAATTCTGGGATTATCTACGGGATTACTTTCCCATCAAGGTGAGATACCGCCTTTGGCTGTATGTGGCCTATATCTTAACCACTGCGTATTCTGTATGTGCACGTAAGTGTGGGAGTTAACCCTGCAGGCTGAGAGCAGAACATTAGAACATTTCACTCTGCCAGTAAGTTTGATCTAAGCTTTGATCTCCAACTGCATATGAGCAGTGGTCCTTATCCCTGTCCTCGGCAGCAAATGGACCACTTCTGGATGAGTGTATATAGCACAACGCCTCTCCAAACCTTATAGTAAGCCTGTTTTTGTTGTCTGATTAAACACAGTACTGCAGGCTGTGTCTCTGTGTGCAACTGAAAGAAAGTCCATTATCACTACTGGACCAATGGACACCAAAGCACTATACTAAACGACAGTGATTTGGGGTTTTTGGTTGCATTCTAAATATACCAAATATGTGAATTATAAATAGAAATGTAATTTAATTTAAACTTTCTTTTCAACAGTAACTGCAGTGTGGTATTAGTCCTTAGTTACTGAAAGGTAGGTGTACAGATTGATGTCACTCACATCTGTCAGTTAAATATAAAGCTGGAGCTGGGAGACCGCTATCTTAGGTTACCATAAAGACTAAAGACAGGGGGAACTGTTAGCCTGGTTGCTGTTGTGGTTGTTGCTGTTTTACAATGGGTTATGTGCCAGATTATTTCTTGGAGCAATAACTCCCTACCTGACAACCTCAGGGTGATGACACAACTCCAGGAAGTCATTGCTCCGGGCAAAGAATAGCACACTGCTCCACAGAAAACCACAAATTTTTGTTTTTGTATGAATTACACACAGAAAATACAACAGCTTAATTAGTAAGGTTTACAGGTACTGGTATGGTCTGACAAATCTAACTGGCTAACTGTTTCCCCCATGTTTCTAGGCCTTATGGTAAGCTAAGCTAAATGTCTCCTGACTCAAGTGTCATATTTAATAGACATTTGTGAGAATGGTATCAATATTTAGCAAAATGTCAAAGAATTACTATCTTCTTGTGGCAGATTGGTGTCTTTCTTTTCAAAGGTTTATGCAGGGCACCCTACAGATGCTGCTGCAAGCCAGAAATATTTCAGAAGTATGATGTTATTACACTGTATTTGTTATAGTAAACTGTGACCTCACTGTCACACTGAAAGCTACCCATTCCACTCTAAAAGGAAAAGAAAACATATATCCAGTGAACCTGGTCCTACTACTGGTCCCACAGACACATTGTATATAATAATCTAAGGTCAGTACAGTTAACTAATGTCATTGTACAGGTTTTGTCAAAAATAAACTTGTTGTACTGGTTTGGAAATATCACTTGGCAGCTTTGCAGATGAATTAACAGTGCTTGTAGTCAAATGTGACACTAGATACATGTTAAACTGGCCCTGACCTAAGCAAGCCTATACAGTACCACTCTACAGTCTATAGTATTTTAGTCTGTTGTGTCCCTCTTTTGGTCATGCATGAGTATTACATATCTGTGACTTAAGATTGATTTGACAGTTGATTTTTCATTATCAAACAGCCCAGTATTTCTTTGTCATATCAACATGCAGCTGTATTTGACATTGGCCATAAGTTTATGTAACTGTGCAAAATAACTAGGACACATCTTATCTGAGGAAACACAGAGAGGAGAACCCAGGTTGACAACATGCACCATATTACTCTGGTCTACTTCATACCCCTGGCCAAGACTTACACTTTGGACCATGCTGATAAGACGCAGTGGCAGAACAACAACACAAGTTCAACAAAAAGTGCTCTGCACATTATGTTAAACATTGCTATGAACCACTTAGTGTATTTATTGGATATCTTCTTTGGGGGGATGTTTGAATAATGGAATTGGTGTCTTAACATTCTAAAACTGTTACTTTTTCATATAAATCTTAAATTTCACGTAGACTTTCTGCACATGGGAACAAAACGGGTGAACTGAGGTTATAATATACTTTTAATAAGAAAATGAGATCAGAATATTCCAGGTAAGAACCATTCAGTCATTACCTGTACTGCTTATCCTGCAGAAAGTCGGGGTGGGCGGGTGGAACCTTTCCCGGCCAACACTGGGTGAAAGGCTGGGTGCACCCTGAACAGGTCATAACAGTAACATCAAATAACTAGCCCGATTTTTATTACATTAAATTAGTCATGTCTCTGTTTACATGAATTAGCCTTCACAGCAATAAATGATATCAAAGTAATCCTTGTTGGCTTGTTTAGTAGAACTGTATGAGGTCATTATAGTCTAGTTTTCATAATTTTACATTTAAAAACACTTTAAACAATACTAATGCCACTATTACAAATCAGCATCATCATACTTTATGCATGCGCTGTAAAATATTTTATTGTCAACAAAAATATCTGCAAGCAAAGGAAAAATCATAAGTGATAAAATTAATGATGAAATGTCGATAAGGCAGTTACTGTTGTAAGCATTATATAATAATAAAGGTCAGGAGAATCCCTGCACAAACGTACAGCAATAATACTATAAAACATACTAGCACATTTTGAAAAATTACTAATAATACAGGTTTTGATAAACAATAAAACATTTTAGAAATGGTAAAGCAGGTGAAACTTCACAATATAATGCAACAGCATAAAATACAGAAGAGTGGAATCAACCGGTTACTGACAATTTCACACACAGAGTTGGCTGCTCTCCTCTACCAGCTCATGACAGTGGGTGTCACACAGATGAATACTGTTGCTACTTTTCTCTTAGACCAAGATCAACACAAGTTAGGTAATTTCCAAAAATAAAAACATTCCCTGTTCTGCATCTGTCTTATGTAATAAGTTGAAAATGAATTATTTTCAGCATCACTTGACGATATGCCACATTAGGTCTGAAACAAAGAGTCAATGTAAGCAGTGTCCTCCAAAGAGCTCAGTACTGTGTCTTTTCCCACCGTTTCTAATTTCACCATCGTCAGCTGAGATGAAGCACACCAGCTGATGTATGTAAGTTAAGGAAAAGGATAAGGAGAATCACCTTTATTGGCCAAGTATGTTACACACAAGGAATTTGTTTCCGGTACAGAACCGATGGCAGCCATCTGCGGCGCCAACTGAACCGATGGCTTTAACCATCGGGGGCAATTGGGGACACTTCAACACGTGGACCAGTTATTAATTCCAGGGGTTCACTTATTTTTTCCACTACCATTTTGAATGTGGAATGAGTGTGTTCTATAAAGATATGAAAGATCAGATTTTTTGTGTGTGTGTTTTTGTAGGCACATTACAGTATATTTGTCAGTACTCTTGACTTGGATGAAGATCAGATCACATTTTATGACAAATTAATGCAGAAAACCCAAATTCCAAATCTGGGAAATTCCAAAAGGCTCACATACGTTTTCCTGCCACTGTATGCTAGATAAGAGGTTACAGGCAGGACACAGTTAACAAAAGTAATGGTACAATGACTGCAGACAAGAGGACACAGCTATTGTAGCACGGTTCTGGTCCAGCTATGAAATATGCAGCACATAACCACCTGAATGTAGTAGCTCACACTGCAAAGTACACGTAGGAAAAACCTTCACTTGGACCCAGATTCACAACACAGAGTAATTTCTTGCTCCTTGAACCTTCAGTCCACTGAACATTATTGACTTAAACCAATGTCCTTGACAGGGAAAACATTACAGATCTTGTGGTGGTGGCAACCCTGCAGGAGGCCTCTGTGATTGGTCACTAGTGGACATATCTTTTGTTTATAAACAGCTTTGGTCATCAGTAGTGGACCCAGAGCCAGTGATGACCCCTGTGTGATCCAGGAGTCCCCAGCAACAACAGCTACCCACATTCTGTGGACACAAAACATCAAGGCCATATCTTCCACCCAGTGCCAGGTGTACAGTCCCTTTTCAAATTGTAATTTCCTATCTTGCACCCGACGCAGTATCCTTTCTTCCTGCTAGCATCCGCGCCCTCAAGATACCACATGCACTTTCATCCACCTGGGAATGTCGATGTAAACGAGGGGCCTTTGTAGGTGCATTTTGGTGCACGTAGTATCTTGAGGATAACACAATAAGAGGTTGCACCAGTGACGAACAAAAGACTGGTCTAAGCCAGCAGTCCAGCATTTAAAGGCCCTGGATCAAGTTAGTAACACGTGTGCAAGGCACAAACATTGCTTGCCACTTAGATAGGGACTTGCAGCAGCGCACCAAAATGCTACAGATTAAAAATAGAATGTTTTCACAATTAAAAATTAATTCCCTTTAAACCATGTTATTAAAAATGGAAATGGTTGATTATATTATGTATCAGAATTATCTGGTCACAATAATGGTCAATGTAAATGGCAAATTGTTTGAGCCGTCCTGGCTCTACACATAGGTATTTAAATCGCTCCTGTCTACTTCCAGGTGGATCGGCCATGGTACAACCATGACTGCCTTTTAAAGGGAATGAGAGATGACATTTTGATTGGTTTATAGTATGTTATGCCCAAAACCCACCCATGGGCTAATTAATACAGTAAGTTCAATCGTTTTGAAACAATCGCCTGATGCAGGTATAATTTTTGCCCCATCAAAATAGCAAAATTGGATCAGACACGCCCTGCATGCACCTTGATTGTTGCGCTTGGAAAGGGGCGCCTTAGATCATGAAAAGAGGGCACCAGCTCTGCAAAGATCTAATATCAGTTTTTAAAAAAAACCTGCTTTGTCAAAGTTTCTTTTTCTTGTCCAACATTTGATCAACAACAGGAATATGTCTGACAAATCTCCGTGTAATGTATCACTGCTGGCTGTCACTTTTAGTGAGACAAAATGGTAAAGGGTAAATGGTCTTATACTTGTATAGCAGCTTTCTATGCTTTTACAGCACACTCAAAGCACGCCTTGATACTCTTGATACAAAAGTATCAAAGTGTATGAAATCTCCTCTTTGAAGCTGCCAATTTGCCCCTGACAAGAAACATAGCATGCTCCCAGATAGTGGGTGTCAGTGTGGCCTTGAGAGCACTGTAACCTGAAATACTAATCACACACACTTACACACACACACACACACACACACAGAGGGAGGGGAGTACATTTGTTTTTTCACTAAGTGGCACAATGCTCATCATGTGCTGCAAAACAAACTAGAGCAAAGGACTCTTCACTCTTGACAGTGATCTTTAGTGTCTTTCACTGTCTCCTCCCTCTACTGTCTGGGCTAGTGGAGACGTGCACACAATACTCCTCAAATATGATATCAAGTCATTTAGAATTAATGATTGAGTTATTTCTGACACTATCGAGAAACACTACTTAATGCCCAAAGATTAAATGCCATTGAACTGTCCAAAACAACAATCACATCACATCATGTAGTTCCTGCACGGGGACAGACAAAGGGGGAATGACATTATTCCAGGGTGTTTGTAAGTCAGCACCAGCGAGTTCATGTTGCCATGTAGTCTTATCACTTCTATGAGTGAACACATGACTTGCTAATCAATACTTAGCACTAAATGAACATATCAAAGACTGAAGTTGGGAAACCTGTGCAAGAGCAACAAATAAACTAGAATTAGCTGGGTGACACTGGTGTGGGGGAATATTATCAACATATGGAATTTCAGTATATATCATATCATAAGATGATTAGTGATTAATGATTAATGATTAATGGAGCTTTAGGAACATTCTGTGGATATTCTGTAGATACGGATAAACCCTCTGGACCTCAGACGTTTCATTATGTGAGAGGATTAAAAAAAAAGTCTCTACTAAACATTTATATACATATGAAATGTGACAAAAGCTCCAAAGCAAACATGGCTTTGAAAAGGCCTGCAAGTCAGAAAGGCTCAGATTTGCTAGTTCAGTCTTTAACAATTTTATAAACAGATTGTGTCGGTTGTTCCTGTTGTTGTTGTTTTTAAGTAAAATATTAATATGAAAAATAACTAGTAACTCTAGCTGCCAACCAATACTGCACTTAGTTATTTTGAACACAAGGTATTGTGGTGGTATAAAGGAAGTGTAGGACAGTGAAGACAGTGAGAGTTCAGAGGGTCTGTGGTGAAACTGGGACATCAAGCTGCATGTTTGGGTTGCAGCCAGCTACATGTAATCCACTACAATGCAATACTGTCACAGCTCTTTTAGGAAGAATCACATAAAATATGAAATACAAGATTCTACATGATTATCCTATTATGGCACCTATAAATTTGAAATCCAAATAATGTTTGTGTGTGTGTATCTGGAGCCATAGAGAAATGGGTCAACATTATTGCTTCTATTTTGACAACTTTCTTTGCTTTTCCTCCCCTAGTTGGTGAAGACAGCTGATTTGGACACCAGGCACAATTATGTTGTAGGCTTCCATCCTCATGGTGTGCTGGTGGTAGGAGCTTTTACCAACTTCTGCACCTTTACCACAGGCTTCAGAGAGCTGTTTCCTGGCATCAAAAGCTACCTGCTCATGTTGCCCCTCTGGTTCAGAGCCCCGTTCTTTAGAGACTACATCATGTCTGCAGGTATATGCCAGGGACACTTACATCATACTGGATCACATTCAACTGTCTCTTACACTCAGCTACAAACAATGTGAATATTTTGCACTTGTGCTGATTTAAATATGCATTGTATTTTTCAACAGGCATATATTAAAATAATTCATTTTATTACTTTGTTCATTGTATTTCATTTTAACCACTTTTTATTTCCTGTTGTAACGGCGCAGGTCTAATTCCTTCAGACAAAGACAGTGCAAGCTACCTGCTCTGCCGAAAGGGTGGTGGTAACGCTGTTGTAATAGCAGTTGGTGGAGCCCCAGAGGCCCTGGATGCCCATCCTGGGACCTACAACGTGATCTTGGCTGAGAAGAAAGGTTTTATCAAAATGGCCATGGAGCATGGGTAAGAGCGGAAAGCCCTGGAGGAAGGAATTTTTTCTGTTAGATCTTAAGATTTATTGAAAAGATTCTGTTAATGTGTTCATTTGTGGTTTCTCGCAGCTTGAGTGTGGCCTCTTGAAACAGAGGCTTATTAAGGTCCTTCATGTGGAATTTCGTAGGAAAGCACATAGTCCATTATGGGATCAATTTAAAATGTGGAACTGTAAAACACTAGGATTTCACATAGTGGATATTCATCAGTTCAACAGCCCTATCATTAAACATTTTTAGAGCTCATTTGCTGCCCGTCTTCTCCTTTGGAGAGAATGAAGTTTATGATCAAGTGGAAAACCCACAAGGAACCTGGCTTCGATGGATACAGGAACGGCTGCAAAGGGTCATGGGTATCTCCCTGCCTCTCTTTCATGCACGAGGCATTTTCCAATACTCCTTTGGTCTTATGCCATACAGAAAACCCATCAGTACAGTAGGTGAGTAAACAGCTTGATTTGTCTGTCACTATCAAAGGGCTACACAACACCACATGCAGCAGGTTATGGTATGCAGTTAGCTTTCATCTCTGATTTCTGTGCAATGGTGTCAGGTATTGTAAACATCACCTGCACTATACAAAACAAAGCATGCCTTCATCTGCCAGCAAAGGTTATTCCATTGTATAAATCTGGGGATAAGCACAACTTCACAAATTATAGACCGGTTTCTCTGTTGTCACAATTTTCAAAAATCTTGGAAAAACTCTTTAATAACAGATTAGATACATTTATTGATAAACATAAAATCCTCTCTGATTGCCAATACGGTTTTAGGTCGAACCGATCGACATCTCTGGCCATTACCGACCTAATGGAGGACATTACAAGTGCTATGGATGAGAAGAAATACACGATGGGAATATTTATTGACCTAAAAAAAGCATTTGACACAATCAATCATGAGTTATTAATGGATAAGTTAGAAAAATATGGGATCAGAGGAATGGTTCTGAAATGGATTAGAAGTTATTTGACACAGAGACGTCAATTTGTGAAGTTGGGTGAATACCAATCGAGTGAGCTGGACATTGTATGTGGAGT